CCAAAGCTGCCAGGTTGCTCGCCACCCCGAGATGCCGGTCACAGCAGAGTGGGTGAGGCGATGCCGTGCAAGCTGTTTGGAAGGCAGAGGCAGCAGAATTTGCTGACGGCACAAAGCATGGCCTGAGAGTCAGGAGGACTGAATGTTCTAGGCCCAAGCTGCTGGAAAAATGAAGTCGCCACTCCCTGATTTGGGGAAGAGGGTTGTGAGAAGCCAGTTCTGGGCTTAGCTGGCCAGATGGGACTTGCTGCTTTCGTGTCCTTCATGCTAGAGCTCTCCAGGCCTTTCGGAGACACAAATCTGGGCCGTCTCCTTCTCTCCTTTGGGTTCATTTAGGTAGGTGGACCCGTGGGTGTCTGTGCACCATGCACGTGTCTGCAGTGGCAGCTGGAGCCCCGCTCATTCTGGGGCCCAGATCTTCCCCACCTCTCAGGGATGAGCTGTGCCAGACTCGTGGTTGTGACAAATTCAGGACTCTTCCTACTTGGGTCTGCTTTGTTTATTCAGCTGTATTCTTCTGTCTCCTCCTTCTCACTGGCCTTCAGCTCTGTAAATCAGAAGTGGAGTTGGGTGGAGTTCAGCCTCATCTGGGGTGTGAGCAGAACCAGGCTGTCCCTTCACTCCTGCTCTCTGAAGAAAGCCTCCCACGCCCGTGGCTGTGGCAAATACTAGAACTTGCTTTTGTATGTGGAGATTCAGTTGCTCGCTGACCTGCCCTGCTATAACTGCTGTCTGCTTCCCCTGCTAAATGATTGCTTCTTGTTAGGTCAGATTGCAAGCACCTGACCCCATTCAGGTGTGCAGCACAACCCTGTAATCCCAGGGGGCTGAGGCAGGAGGATCACAAGTTCCAGCCCAGCTGGCCAGCTGAGCCACTTAGCGAGTCCCTGGTGCACAATAAAGGGCTCGGAATACAGCTCAGTGCAAAGCCTGGGTTAGTTCCCAGCAGCCTCCCCAGCCCTCCCCAAATGTTGTAAGATTGCACAGCACAGAGCCCCCAGGGGACCCCTTAGTAGAAAAGTAAGGAATTATGGAAGACTTTGTGGAGAGAGGGAAGAATTCCTATTAAGAGCAGGCAGTGGGGCATTTCCATCTGAAAGCGTCAAGAAAGGCCAGCGTTGGAGCCATGCAGGAGCAGAAACAGGTAGGGCTGTGCTGTGGCTTAGATTTGGGAAGAGGATTGAGGGCTGTGTCTTGGGGTGTGTTTGGGGATTGAGAGTGGGACGGCTGCAGCAGGGGCCCTCAGACCTGGCTGTGCACCAGAATCACCTGGGGGCTGGTTAAGCGCTGGCAGGCTGCACCCACAGAGAGCTGGACGTCATGGGTCTGGGTTAGGGGGGAGAATTTACATCTCTTCCCATCAGTGCACAGGTTGTGGCTACTGCTGGTCCGGATCACAATCTGAGGACCACTGAGTTTGGACACATTTCAGTCCACAGTGTAGGCGTTATAGTGATGCTGTTGAGCGGCCTGTGTCCTGTGAGAAGTCCTGGGTAGGGTTTTTTCTGTCTTTTGGGTCTGTTTAGAGTGAGTGTTCTACTCTAAGAAACCAGGTCCAAGTGCATCTTCCCTGATGAGCTACTTTGAGTTCCCTTGTAACACGGGCTACAACCAAGTCCACATTTTTAAACTCTTGCCACGGAAACGTGGCTCCGGACCCCTCGTGCAGCACCATAGCTGAGCGCAGCTGCCTTCGAACGTGGTCAGAGTATCAGATTCTGCTGGCTTCTCACCTGCTTGGTCTGGTCCCTACAGGAAGCGATTTATTTTATTCACTTTTCCTCATAGCTTCCGCTCTTGAGGCCTAGGATTCTTTTTCTTGCCAAATGCCTCCTTTCCCCCTGATATGCTCAGATCATTCCCCAGATAGGATGACTGAGGTTGAAGTAATGCAAACTCAGGCAGAGTTCATCATTCTTTCTTGGCACTGCAGCCCTGTCCTTGGCCTCTGAGGCTCTCAGCAAGCTGACCCCAGGCGGCTTCTCTCAGGCCGAGGCTTCTTTGTTCCCCGTATGCCTTGCTTGTTTTAACCTGGTGCCTTTGCTTACTGTCTGCCTACCTGATTGCCCCCATCCAAGGGGCTTTCCTGATCCAATAGGCGCAGGTTCCCTTTCTTTTCTTTTCTTTTTGTATTTAGTACAAGGTCTACAGGGTCTCATTATGTAGATCAGACTCATAGTGATCCTCCTGCTTGCAACCTCCCAAGAACTGAGATTACAGGCGTTCACCACCACCCAGTCTCAATCACTATCTCAGTGCGCCCTGGGGGGTGGGGCCAGCACAGCAGGCCCTGGATCAAACCCCAGCCTTGCTTTAATCCACTGAGCTATTTGGCCAACCCTCAGGTTCCTTTCTTTGAGCTCCTTTTCTCTGCCCTTTGGCACTTGGCCTCGGATTCTCTCACTTATGTCACTTTGGTCTCCCCAGCTCCATGACAGTTCCTAGAGGGTAGGTACACATCTGGGTATCTCTGTCCCCACCTTGTGTCCCAAGATATACATCACTTGGGAAGCAGATCCCACGTGGGACTCTTTTGGGTTCTTCATGCAGCTGCAGAACTGCATGGGCTTCTCCGAGTGTTGTGGAGATGAGGTGGTGTGGGTCGGTCGGGCTCGGGAAGTCAGGGGTGGCAGATTGGCAGCCCCTGGTGCCACACACAGCTCAGTTGGCACTGTTTTATATGAAAGACGCTTGGCTTTTACTTTTACTTTTTTTTTTAAAGTTTAA